GGCTTGTATTGAGCTGGTAGTACTAGATATAATTTACTGAATCGGCTCTCTCCCAAATAGAGTAGTGCCTTTGATCACATATCTGTAATGTCCTTACTTATTAATTGAATATAATAATGCAAATAGTCATGGCAAAGATTTCATATCTCTACTCTGCATGCGGCATTCCCTTTTATTTTGCGGCAGAAATAAAAGGAAAAGCCATTTGACTTCCTAGATAAGCAGCTGGAAGGTCAGTGTGATGTACAGTGTTACACTTACTGGAAAGTGGCATAAGCAATTGTGCAAAGTCAGCTGAAGAAGTTGGGTTATTTTGCTTGACCCTTTGCGAATCCCAAAGACCCTTCATGAGCCATTCATTCGAAGCACCTTGTAGCTCTGGTTTATATGGGTAATATAAAAGAAGTGGTGAAATGGCTCAGCATCTAAATTGGAAACTGTTGTACACATACATTTTAAAGTCTCTGGATTGGCTGCTAGATTTAATATCAGTATTTAGCTGAGCATTACTAAGTATTGCTCAATTAATTCTGATATTCATCTTTGCCTGAAATGTAGTTGAATTCCTCAAATACTGTGTGAATAATCTCTAGGGTTCACATTTCCTCAAAATACTCATAATACCTGATTCAATGTGATTTTCTTATAACTTCATTGTTAGGCTGAATTCTGCCACCTTGCTCACTCTACGTAGCACCTTATTCCATGATTAGTCCCACCGACTACAGTGCTACGCATGGAGTAAGGTGCTACTCTAAATGTGAAATCCTGGCCTCACTAAAGTCCGTGGCAAAACTGATAGACTGGTAAACAATTATGGGGATGGGTCAGTTATACAGACTAATCTGCCTTATTTGGTAAGGTGGGCTCATCTGAACAACATGTGTTTTAAAACAGCTAAGTGTAAGGTCCTACATCTAGGAACAAAGAATGAAGGTCGTATTTACAAGATAGGAGACAGTATCCTGGGATGCAGTTCCATTGAAAAGGACTCAGGGGTGTTGGTAAATAGCCAGCTGAACATGAGTTCCAGTGAGATGCTGTAGGTAAGAGGGCAAATGTGACCTTTGGATGTAGAAGCAGGGGAATATCAAGTCGGAGTAGGGAGGTGGTATTGACTCTACATATAGCATCACTGAGCCAATTACTGAAATACTGTGTCCAGTTCTGGTGTTAACGCTTCATAAAGTAGGTTGGAAAATGGGAGAGGGTTCAGAAAAGAGCTATAAGAATGATTTGAGGACTGGAAGACATGCCTGATAGCGAGAGTTAAAAAGCTCAATCTATTTTTGTTTATCCAAGACTAGGTTAAGAGGTGACTTGATCAAAGTCCAGGGATACCTACATAGGGAAAAGTTATCGGATATAGATAGCTCTTTAACCGAAAAAAAGCAAAATGGAAGCTGGTGGTTGGAAGCTGAAGCTGGGTATATTTGAATCAGAAATATAATGCAATTTTTTTTTAACAATTAGGATAATTAACCATTGGAACAACTTAACAATGGATGTGGTGGATTTTCCATCCCTTGAAATCTTTAAATCAAGACTGGATATCTTTCCAAAAATATGCTATAGCTCAAACAAAAGTTATGGGCTTGATGCAGAGATAACTAGATCAGGTTCTAAGGCCTGTGTTATGCAGGAGGTCAGACTAGATGATCAAATGGTCCCTTCTGTCCTTAAAATTCATGAATCTATGACATGATTAACATTTATAAAACATCTAAAGAAGGTAGATCATGAGCTTATGTTTTCCCTGTCTCATAACACAAGAACAAGTGAACAGTCCTTTAAATTAAAAGGTAGCAAATTCAAAAGTGATGTGTGAAAAAGTATTTCCTTTCATGTAATTAGACTTTGGAACTCATTGCCCCTGGAATTTGTTGAGGCCAAGAATTTAACAAGATTAAAAAAGAGATTAGATATTTACATGGATGGAAGGACTATAGAGGGTGATAATAGGAACAAAAATTTTGGAAGGGATATAAACATCATGATTCAAGCCAATCTCTAACTCTTATTGATCAGGATGAGACCTAAAGCAGGGGCAGGTCCACTGACGGGGGCAAAGGGGGCAATTGTCATGGGGCCCGGATGATTTAAAAGGTCCCGGGGGGCCCTGGCCACTACCCCAGGCCCTTTTAAATCGCCCAGGTGGGCCACAGGGCTCTTAGCCATTGATTCTTTATGGAGTCCTATACAAGTAGGACCTTGAACATGCACAGAGCTAAAACTCAGACTACTCAGGTTTATTTTAGTTTAACTCCTCTCTAACTACACGACAAGTGAAATGAGTTTGGGGAAGGAAGGGATCTACTCCTACTCCCCTCCTTGCATGAATCACAAAACTGCTGTGTTCTGACATGGTGAAACCTTGTTACAGGTTGAGTTAAAACCCCATTGAGATTAATAGGTATGAAATCATCCTAAGTAACTAAGTATAAGCCCCTAAGACAAAAGGTGTGTGTGTGTGTGAACCCACCATCGAGCTTTTGGGTGAGTATTGTTTTGGGTTGGGTGCGGGGGGGAAGAGATCATGCAAATACTGAGACTGGACAAGAAAAAAGAGAGAGGAAGAGGTAAGAAAGCTCAACAGGAGTCTGTGGGCACAGTGTGACCCGGAAAAGGCTGGAGAGAAAGCTTTGGGGTCTGGTGTTGTCTGAAGAGGTTTGAGGGCAGTAAGCGAAGAATCTGCTCCTTTTGTTTTTGATTCCTTCTGTATTCAAACACAAAGGACTTTGTACATCCCTTGTAAATAAACAAGATGGTATCCATGAAAATACCAGGCTCCACCAACTTGTACTTTCAATTGGAACACCCCAGGGTCATGAACTTTGACTAGTCACTTGGGCCAAAAGGGAGCAACATTTGTAAAAACTGACAATTTAGTCAGGCTTTGCTCCGGAGAGATTTGGGACTAGAACACTGTGTAGGGTAGGAATGAGTATTTGCCCAGCTCCAAACAGAGTCTCAAGCATCTTTGGTATGGTTTATAAAATCAGCAGCATTTCTCTCTAGAATTTTAGCCCTGTGTATTCAGCCTTACTCTTGCGATTAGGTAATTATTTGTATTAATAAATACTAATACTAGAAGAGTTGAATTGTACTGATGGGAAGGGAGGATAAACTTCATGCTAAGAAAGCAACTGAGCTCCAAAAGGAATCTGGATAGTAAAATGTGATAAAAGCACAAAAGTTCATTATGCTCCCGTTCTGCAAACATCAAACTGTTCTTTCATGCAGACTGTTAGTCCTCAGAATACTAGTTTACACCCTCGGGTACCTGCTTTGCTTCCTGACTTACTACCTATCAGTGAACTTGCCGCTCAGCATTGCCATTTTATAGGAGGCTTTCCCAGCATGCTCTCCTGGCAGCTGACCCTTTAAATCCAGAAGACAACCAGCTACAGCACTACAGTGATCATTTTGCTTCTGAGTTCTGCAAGCTACACTTCTCTAGACAGCAAATACATGAGCTGCTTTTGTTTTCTCCTTGCTTGCTTTCAGCAGTGAGCTGTAGATGGTCTGCCAGATACGATCAGCATTTTAACTACTGTGGCCAAGATTTTCAGAAGTGCACATTAATTTGGGGTACCTTAACTTTTGGTGTCTCAAATTAATCCTGGGGCACCCAAAGATCTAAGGCCAGTTAAGAAAACTTTGGCTTATATCAACAAGATCGTTCTGAGCAGTTTTAGATGCCACGGTGCTAACAAGTCCATTTACACTACAGTTCCCAAAGTTCTCAAAACCAGTGGGAATGTTTTTAAACGATGTCCCTAGTGTAGATGGGGCAGCATACATACTGAAAAGTTGAAATAGGTGCAATAATAGCAGGCCAGGAGAAAGAGAAAATAAAGCAAACAGAGAAGGACTCATTGGCCCTCATGTATTTCACAGCACTATCATTTTCACAGTACAATGATTCCTTTAGACCTTTTCTTTTTATTGTGCATCAACAGAGGAGTTAACAAGCATTCTTATCGGCAGTGCGTCTCCGTGGTGTACTTGGAGAGCAGCTAAAGCTCTTTGAACAAAATAAAGGCAAAGTTAAGAGCCAAGCACAACATTTCTTCTATAGCTTCAGTGCCACTCCTCAAACAACCTCCAAAGTCACATTATAGTAGCAGGAAGGGTATTAGTTCCAGTTCACAAAAATGAGCAGGATAATTGGTATTGTTGTTCTTTCCGGATCATTTATTTTAAAAAAAGAATGCTGAGTTGAAAATTCTTAGTTGTTGCACACATGGTAAAAGTTACCACGTGTTCTTATTGCAGTTCCCCTGGTCTACTCTCTTCCTTCTCTTCCAGTTGTCTATTGCTCTGGCTTGCTGTGTCTTGCTTTATTTAGACTGCAAGCTCTTTGGGACAGGTGGGTATGGTTCACAAGTTAGGTGTGAGATAGGCTTTGTTCAACTGAACTTCAAGAGAGCAAGGTGGAAGGAGGCATGGCCTATCGCTGAAGGTACAAGACCAGGAAACAAGTGTTCTGAGTTTTATTTCCGACTATGCTAAAGCTCTCTTAGATGTTTGGCTGGAAGGCTCTACAGATCTGCAAAGTAAAAATAGTGCTCATACCTCTATAATCCTAGACAAAAATTGTGAATTCTAGACGTTGGGGCAAACAAATAGAAGCCATCACTCCAGCACAGAGCTTTATTCCATGGAAACAATCAGTGTGAAGAAAGTAACATGACATGGGACAAAAAACTGTTCTGTCCTTTGGTATTAACTACACATTTTTGTGCCTGGTCCTCTGATACCTGGTTAAACTTCGAATGACTGACAGAGGGACAGTAGTTTTGGGCTTCTGTTCAGGTGTAATCATGAACAAAAGCCAATACAAAGTCAACACTGAAAACAGGATATTTACAGTGGTTGCTACAACACATTAAAAGGACCATCCACGTAAGAAGTTACATCCAGCACTGTTTACACATGTATGTTATGTCACCAGGGATGTGTGGCTCACAAAATGGTTCTTTAGGAAGAACTTTTCACTACGATTCACGCTGTCTGACTCTGTGCGCTAATACACTAGCACCCAAAGCCTGAAGCAGTGTTGGAGCTGGCTTCCATCTGTCTAGATTTTTCACATCGTTCCTTTCTTTCTCCAATTCCTGCTGTTTCTCCTTCACGTGGAAAGGGATGCTGAGGAAAGGAGAAATGCAAATGAGTTAACTAACTGCAAAGTTCACTCGTTACAGCAGAGTGGCTTTCCTGATTTGGTCTTCAACCAAACCAAATTGGACTCAGTGGAACATTACAGCATCAGCATATATTTAAATATTAAAGCAGCTTTTGTGTGAAGCATTCAGGGGAAGGTTCCTTTTGCGATCTGACAGGATGCTTAGAGTAGAGATAAGGAAATATTAATGACATTGTAGAAGGCACTGGCAAAAACTCAGCTGGCATATTGTGTACATTTCTAGTCACCTGGGTTCAAAAAGACATATTCAAACTGGACCAGGTGCAGAGAAGCGCTACTAGTATGATCAGGGAAATAGGCTATCTTATGAGTAGGAGTCTACTTAAATCATGGAGAAATAACACTTTTTTCATGGGTTGGTCACAGCATAAATACCAAATTTTGCAGATATGTAACACATCCGTGAAATTTGCTATTTGTGTTGTGACCAACCCATGACAAATGTGTGATTTCCCCCCCCCACACACACACACAGCATTTCTCAAACTGGGGGTCCTGACCCAAAAGGGGGTTGCAGGCCTATTATAGGGGGTTTCAGTATTGCCACTCTTACTTCAGCACTTCCTTCAGAGCTGGATGGCCAGAGAGTGGCGGCTGCTGGCTAGGCGCCTACCTCTGAAGATAGTGCCACTTCCAGCAGAAGTCAGAGTGGCAATACCATACCATGCCACCCTTACTGCTGCGCTGCAGCTGGCAGCAGCACTGCTTGAAGCCAGGCAGTAGGAGAGCTGCAGCTGCTGGCTGGGAGCCCAGCTCTGAAGGCAGTGCTGCCACCATCAGCAGTGGAGAAGTAAGAATGGCACTGTAAGGTATTGCCACCCTTACTTCTGCGCTGCTGCTGGCGGTGGTGCTGACTTCAGAGCTGGGCGCCCAGCAAGCAGCCGTTGCTCTCCGCTCTGCCTTCAGAGCTGGGTGGCTGGAGACCAGATTTCATGGTCTGTGATGTGATTTTCACAGCCACAACTTTGATAGGCTAGGAGGAGAGGAGATTGAAAGAGTTTGATTTGTTTAGCCTAGCCAAATGAAGACTAAGAGGGGATTTGATGGCTCTCTATAAACACAGCAGAGGGATAAACACCAAGGTGAGAGAAGAGCAATTTAAGCTAAAGGACAAAGGTGCATGAACAAATGGGAATAAACAAGCCATGAAGAAATTTAGGATGGAAATGAGAAGAAGGTTTCTAACCACCAGAGTGAGGTTCTGGAACAGCCTTCCAGTGGGAGTGGTAGGGGGCAAACAACCTAATTAGTTTTAAGATGGAGCTTGATAAATTTATGAATGAGATGAGATGATGGGGTTTTCCTGTGATGGCAGGGGACTGTACTCGGTGACCTACATCCTATGTTTGGTTTCTAAAACCGTGCGCTATTATCTGCTGAAAGCTACATACAGCATTAGACATTGAAAAGAAAAATCCAGCTTTTTAAGTAGTCTGTTATTTATTGTACAGTGCTTAATACTTTTCATCCCTGTATATCCCAAAGCAGGCCGACACTGACAAATATCATGGGCCAACTGAGAACAGGTTCTTATAATAGAACGTGTTCTCAGTTGGCCCATGATATTTGTCAAGTGTCAGGTAGCCTTAATGATAGGCCACCTAGAATCAGGTCCTGAAATATTAGTGCTGGATATCTGGAAGGTCTTCAAAAACCACAGCCCCATAATTTTAGAAATGGCTAGTCCTTGCAAGCCAAATGTTCACCTGGTGAAAAACAATATCAGTGGATCTATGTTAATTCACAACAGCTGATCATCTGGCCCTGAATATCTTGGATGCTGTTACGTAAACAAAATCTCTAAGAAATTCCTCTTCATCACTTACTAGAAATTGATTTAGCCGATGTCAAGACATGGGCAAACTTATTTAAAATCTGAGCAAGGGGCTCTCTACCATGTGAATTTACATCTGTTCTTAGACTGTGTGAAGTGTATAGTAAAATCCAAGCATAAGTATAATTATACAAAAACAGATACATATAACAAAACATCCCCTAGATCAGGGGTCTCAAACACGCGGCCCGGGGGCCGCATGCGGCCCGCGGGGTTGTTTTCTGCGGCCCGCAAGCTCCTTGTGGCCCCCCTCCCCCAGCGTTTACCTAGAGTGGCTCCAGCCCGACATGCACTGGGGGCAGGGCAGGCTCCCTGCCTGCCCTGCCCCCGCGCTGCTCCGGGAAGCGGCTGGAACGTGGGGAAGGGGGGCACAGGGGTCTGTGTGTTGCTCTTGCTTCAGGCAGCGCCCCCAGCAGTTCCCATTGGCTGTGGTTCCCCATTCCTGGCCAACAGGAGCTGCTGGGGGTGGTGCCTGAAGCAACAGCAACACACAGACTCCTGTGCCCCTCCTCCCCCAAGTTCCGGCCACTTCCTGGAGCGGCGTGGGGACAGGCAGGCAGGGAGCCTGCCCTGCCCCCGGTGCGTGTCAGGCTGGAGCCCGCCCCCGAACCTCTCCTGCAGCCGAACCCCTTGCCCTGAGCCCCCGCCACACCCCACACCCCTCCTGCACCTCCTGGGAACAGGAAGGGGGCAGAGTTGGGATGGGGATTTTGGGGAAGGGGTTGGAATGGGGGCGGGGCCTCATGGAAGGGGTGGATTGGGGGCGGGGCCGAGGGCAGCGGGGGGGAGGTGTCAGTAATGTGGCCCTCGGGCCAACGTACTAGTCCTCATGTGGCCCTCGTGGTCATTTGAGTTTGAGACCCCTGCCCTAGATCGTGCATACATACATCCAACCTTCGATTGGTACAAGATAAAAGCAAAAGAGAACAAAACAGATGCCCACACTTCTCTTTTTCCCAGGAGGGGCTTTGTTCACCAGACCATACCAAGTGATTTTATTTGCATATAGGTAATCATCTCTACACAGTTACAGTAAGCTTTTTTTCACAATGGAAAATTTGCAGATGAGGGGAGAAGCTTTTTTTATGATGAACACACTGAATAGCTTACAAGCAACTAACCGCATGGAGAACTTTAAACATCTTTGTAACTTGTGTGAGGATCTAACACCAGAGCAACATGAAATGCTGCAGATAAATTGGTCAAAAGGGAGTGAGAGGCGGTAATGGTGATAGATATAATCAGGAATGAGCTCTTGAGAGCAGATGGTTCAAATAAACATTAGATTTAACTGTGATCTGTTCTTTAAACTACATTCTTTGCCCAAATATTTTAATATTTAATTTGATTTTTAAATTTAAATTTAGTGTTTGGAAAAGGTTCTGGTGTGACAAGCTTGGAGAATAAGGATCAATATTTGCTCATAACCAGATTTAGTACAGGCAGTAGCACAAGTTTCCCATGATGTCTCACAACTTCAAGGAACTTCCTGCAGGAATGAGAGGGCACTTTGGAGCTGATGGACTAATAGTCCTTGACCTCTCTGCTCAGATCTGGCTACAAGGGTGCCAGTTAATTGTTGTTGGTTTTGTAGTAATGGCCAGAATGTGTTGGGAGCTGCACATAGGAAGATATGGTCACTGCCCTGAATCTAAGGGCCAAATCATGCAATCTCTTAAGAATGAGAGTTATTGCATTCACATAATAGTCACACTGACTTGCATGGAGAATTATTCATGTCCAGGTATTTGCAGGATCAGGGTCCAAGGCTTGTTACCATATGTCAAGTGTGGAGACCCACTGAACAGACAAGAAAAGTGTCCGGGTATTGGTTGGCACCAACTGCACTTCTACCTAGCTAATGTGGACACTGAACCTTTCAGGATTCATGCTGCCCAGAGCCCCACAGAACCTCCACTCACTCCCAGTGTAGCTAAATAATATGGCCCTGCTCCACTCCCTTAAGCACCCATTTGAATGTCCATGGATGTACGAAATTACACACAGGCTAATGTGCTTTGCTGGATCAAGGCCTAAGGTCCTAGGCCGTGCCTGACTCTTCTCATTTACACCAGTGTTACATCCCTGGAGTTAATCCCGATTTAACGTGGTCTAAGTGAGAAGTGAATCAGGACATATGGAACAAATCTTGCTCTCAGTTACAGCAACACAAATCCAGAGCACCTCAATTGAAATTGATACAGTTATTCTGGATTTTCACTGTTGTAACTCAGAGCACACTTTGGTCCTTTCTATCTCAAATAGTGGCATGTTTCCTTTATTCTCTGGAGCCTCTTATTTTACCTGTGTGAACCAGACTATAATTCTGAATTTTATTATGTCACTATCTTATTACCTGAAAATCACAAATCCATATTTTAACATAAGTTTCAGATCAGCCTTTCTTAAACACAGGCTGTTCTAAGCCCAGTCAGTTTCACTGCGAGGGGCTCTAATCACCACAGGAGGGAGATAAAGCTACACAGTTCACATGCCTGCTTCCATGCTACAGTTGTCAAAGGAAAAACAGTAGGAAAGGATTACATGGTAACTTCCCTCTTTCTGCTGCTATACCACTCTACTCTCTCTAAGGGCATGTCTCCAAGAGCATTTAGTTTGCAACAAGCTGGGGTGTGAATCAACCCCGCATTAGCCTGCCACAGACTAACTGACCATGTGGACCCCGCTGACATGAATTCCAGAACCCAAATCAGAAATATTGCTATGAATTAATGAAATGTGGTCTCTTGTATATGAATCTAAGGGCTTATCTACATAGGGGCACTCAGGAAAATTAATCCAAATTAACTGCAGATGTGAATTTAAAGTAGATTAATTAAACCACATTAAGCCCCCATGTGGATACTCTTATTCAGAGTTAAAGTGGATTTAGCTAAATCAAATTAAGGCCAGTTTAATTCTGAATGAGTGCATCCACACAGGAGTTTAGTGCAGTTTAACTAGTCCACTTTAAAAATGAATTCAGATTAATTTTCCTAAGTGTTCACGTGTAGACACGCCTTCCGTGATGAATGGCTGTAGCTGTTTATTTAATTGCAGAGATGTACCAGTTTCAAGCACTGAATGTGTATACATTTAATAACAGCATCTAATATTTTAGTTAGAACTGAGCAAATTAGAGGAATAAAAGAGGCAAGTGGAAGGATAAAAGGACTTCACGAACCATTGGTCTAACCTGGTCTGGCAAAAATGGGCCACAAATACATATATAAAAGAAAAAAGAGTTTTATTCTCAAGAAAAAAATCCAGTCTCCATGACCGAATAACCCCAAAGTATCAGAACTGTGCTGCTGGTATGTGTACAAAATCTTTTCCTTGATACGCTGAGTAAATACAACCACTAGAAGGCATGGAGATATGTGCAATCTGAGTGGTTGTGGTTGTAAAACACAATATTTCTGAACTCAAAAGATATTCTTATAAGCATCCCTACTACTGTGTGTTTCAGAGGCCTTGATAACTGCCAAGGGATTTTGGGCCTGTGTTAGCAAAGGTCTGCCAAAGTGAGCTCACTAACAGCACAAAACAAGTGTTTGAAAGAGTCAAAAGAAGGCAAAGGGAACAAAGAGCATGAGGTGGAAGCAACAAGGACTGCAGGACTCATGAGAGGGAAGGGAGAGTTTCTTCTTTAACGGTTTGCTGCTTCTCCCCCAAAACTCACAGCAGGCAGCCATTTTCTTTTCCTTGTGTGTCTGTTCATGGACAATACCTCTCAAATGTCCTTGTTTTGAGATGTCACTCATCTCTCTCATTTATGTATGTGGCACACAGATTTGGAGTTCCCTCACTTTTTTCCTTGTTGAAAATGATTTATGTCAGAAATAAAGTATGAAGCTCACAGCATGCTGTGTCCCTCATTTTGGGTCTTCGGCATATTGCATCTCTCAGTTGGGCCTTGGCAGGCTGAGTTATAGGCCACGGATTATAGCAGCATTGACCAGTTTATGCCTGGTTATAATTTCATTTAGAAAGATTAAAAGGGGCTTTTATTGTTTACTGTTAAGCTTATTGACAAGGCAGAAATCAGATTCTGGCCTTATCATTGTGTCAACCTGCTACTGGGCTCTGACTTCAGAAAATTAAGGATCTTCACTTCCCAAAGCTATTATGAATTAATTTCTAAATCAATAATATTTCAAAGTGTGATGTAAATGAGGTTCCCTGGAGACACTATGCACAATTTTTGCTCATTATCCTTCTAAACATCATTGTGACAGTACAATAAGGTCAATTCGGCTGTATTTTTGGTCAGTAAAAAAAAAAAAGAAATCCAGTTGAGTTACAAAGCTGACCCTTCATTCTAAATGTGTTCTTCAACAAACATTCACTGAAATATGTATTTTAAAAAAATAAATAAAGTAGAATTCACTCTCGTTATGTCACCTGTCTTGGAAGCCATTAAAAAGAGAGACTGTATCAATGTTATCCTAATTGATTTATTATAGTCGGCAGCCAAAATCCAGGACATCTATATCAAAAAGGGTGTCAACATTGAGAGGCCTATAAATAGCTGAAAATTCCCTTATGGAACAGTTTTAGAGTATAAGGGCCCCCAGTGAGCTCAGTAGAAAGACTCCTGTTGAATCAGGCTCTAGCAGCATGAGATCCTCTGTATAGATTTGTTGAACCAACATGAAGTATTCTGTAGGTGAAGAATTCTATCCCTTGGTTTAACAGGCCTGTAGAAAGTGTCATCTGCTACATTCTCTGGGTTTTGGAGTGCGAACTTTAGGAACCCTATTTAATTTCTATAGAACCCTATTAATTGTATTCCTATTAAGCTCAACAGGACTTTTCCAAACAGGAGATGAAAGACCTGATTCTCCTCTTACTTTACACAAGTTAAATCCATTGATTTTGATGGAGTTTCTCCTGATTTCTACTGGTGCAAGTGTGGTCTGAATAAGTCCCATATATTATAGCTGTTCCCTGTGCTCCAAAGCAGATACTTACCAAGGAGTCCGTGACAAGCGCTGGAGAGGGATAAATGTATCTGCTTTCCTTTTGTATGTTGCACTATAAAAGAAAACAGAGCTGTAAAACTGCCTTGGCTTCCTGTAGAGGCATGTCAGTAGCTGGCTTCCTTTCAATAAAATGTATTTGCTGGTATTCCCCTTCCCAGAAATACACTGCATTCCAAATGCATTCTGCTATAGAATTTTGTAAGCAGCTTCAAATCATAGAATATCAGGGTTGGAAGGGACCTCAGGAGGTCATCTAGTCCAACCCCCTGCTCAAAGCAGGACCAATCCCCAACTAAATCATCCCAGCCAGGGCTTTGTCAAGCCTGACCTTAAAAACCTCTAAGGAAGGAGATTTCACCACCTCCCTAAGTAACCCATTCCAGTGTTTCACCACTCTCTGCATGAAAAAGTTTTTCCTAATATCCAACCTAAATCTCCTCCACTGCAGCTTGAGACCATTACTCCTTGTTCTGTCATCTGCTACCACTGAGAACAATCTAGATCCATCCTCTTTGGAACCCCCTTTCAGGTAGTTGAAAGCAGCTATCAAATCCCCCCTCATTCTTCTCTTCTGCAGACTAAACAATCCCAGTTCCCTCAGCCTCTTCTCATAAGTCATGTGCTCCAGCCCCCTAATCATTTTTGTTGCCCTCCAATGGACTCTTTCCAATTTTTCCACATCCTTCTTGTAGTGTGGGGCACAAAACTGGACACAGTACTCCAGATGAGGCCTCACCAATGCAGAATAGAGGGGAAAGATCACATCCCTCGATCTGTTGGCAATGCCCCTACTTATATGGCCCAAAATGCCGTTAGCCTTCTTGGCAGCAAGGGCACACTGTTGACTCATATCCAGCTTCTCGTCCACTGTAACCCCTAGGTCCTTTTCTGCAGAACTGTTGCCTAGCCATTCGGTCCCTAGTCTATAGCAGTGCATGGGATTCTTCCGTCCTAAGTGCAGGACTCTGCACTTGTCCTTGTTGAACCTCATCAGATTTCTTTTGGCCCAATCCTCTAATTTGTCTAGGTCCCTCTGTAGCCTATCCCTACCCTCCAACATATCTACCACTCCTCCCAGTTTAGTGTCATCTGAAAACTTGCACATGTCAAATCCACATTTCTTTTTCAGATAGCATACTCCATATTACAGTGGGTCCACAGGGATGTTTTTCCACATTTTATCATAAGTGTCTTTCACTATACAATTCACCTTTGATCTATCTACTGGAAGCTCTCTACTATCTTTTCACTCAAATTCAGCAAAGTACTTAAGTATGGGCATTATTTTAAACACTTGAGTCTCTCCACTGACTTCAATTGGATTCCTCGGGTACTTATCCTTACACAGGTGCTTAAATATCTTGTAGAATTGGGGTCTAAATCTCCATTAAAATCATCACTACCCTTATTTTGTCAGCAACCAACCATACTTCTTATTTGAACACACTTTAGCTAATGCTTCCAGCTCCTCCAGAAGTCCCTTTCCCTGCCACATTCAAAATAGCCCCACTTCTATAGAAAACACAACCTAATATGAACTTTCCTTACCATTATCTATAGCCTGTAACCCACCACCGTTTCTTCAGCAAAGTATTAGTAAAGGGGGTCTTCTCTTACTTTTTTATCACTCTTTCCCTCACAACCTCCTTGATAACACTCAGTCAGGCTTTTACAGGAGTAAGTCTGCTTCCCTCCAGATGGCTAATTCTCCACTTTTTGCCTGTGACCAGTGCTTAAATTCAGCAGACGCTATCCAAAGCAGAGCTCCAGTAAATATTTTCAAACCAGTGAGGTGAGCCCCGGAGCCTCCTGCTGGGCAGAAGTCCTGAGCCCTAGCTCTGAGCTGAAGCCCCGAGCCTGGATGCACCCGACGGGGCTGAAGCCCCGACACCCAGTGTGCCCTGCAGGGCTAAAGCCCTAAGACCGTCCCACCCCGCAGCTGAAGCCTGGAGTCTCAAACTGGCGGAGCAAGGGGTGCTCCAGGAAGTAGTATATGAGATTTTAAGCCCTCCCTGTGACCCTACGTGATCTCAAAGTACCAACAGTTTTCTCTCTGTATCTTCTGAGCTGCTTCATGAAGTTGATGTCTCCAGTACTCTCCTGTCCTGAATTCCACCCTAACCACAGCATTTTTATCTCTGGCAGAGACTGCATCTTTCTCTCATTCCCTCCATTAGGAAAAGGCTGAAGGCTCTTTCCCTAGCCCTCATCTTGTCAAGCAGGGTCACCCTTAAAACCTTGCCACTACTGACCTTGATAAATGGTTACAGTTACTTCAGTAGCTGCAGATTCATCTAAACTTCCTTATAGAATACCTAAAACATTGCAAACTGGGAGGTAAAAGCTATACAGTTATTTAAGGAATTATTTAGGCTCAATGGCCGGTTTATAAGAATGGCCACTATATTTAGCTTTTTCTTCTAAGATGTCTCATTACTAGCATCAGCTCCAGACATCACTTATATACCAATGACAGCCAACTCTACCTCGTCTATCCATGAAATGTTCACCTTGTTACTAAGTTGCATTCTTACTGGCTTCTGCAAGCTGGGCTGTGCACCAATTGTACTCCACCCATCACATCATTCTGACCTTTCAACTCTTGTGTCTTGCTTTTGCATCTGCCTTACTCTGCCATGCTAAGTCTCAACTTTACAACCTGTGATTGACACACTTTTCTTTTCGTATGACTCCCTTACATGAATATGTCTCCCTTACACACTTTTTGCATGCCTTTGGTCCCATCTGTCTGAACTTTCATGTTCAGATTGTAGCTTATAGACTGGCCTGGAAATTTTCATAATAGCAATGGCATACAATAAGATGAAGTATTTTTCTCAGAAGCAATACTTACTAGAAGGAACAAAAAAAGCAAACCATACTTTCTGTGAATAGCTTTTAAAATGTGTAATACTATCTCTATAAGATGCCTTGTTAGTCCACTTGTCACCACCGTATTTATGAAGCAATGTGTCATCAACCTGTGTTGCAACTACATTCAAACTGGTTTGCATTTCATTTTGGAAAGCTGCCATTTTATATTTGTTATTTCATTTCATCGGCCAAGTTTGCACATAAGTTGGCCACGGTTTTGTCATACTGAACAGTGCGTGTCTGTGTGCAGACTGGGAGTAACTGAACTGTGTGAAAAGAACTGCTTGAATGAAAAGAGAAATGGGCACATTGCTTAGTTGTTAGACCTATTGGACCTGAATCTCATGTCACTCCATTGATTACAGGGAAGCTACTCCTGGTTTTCACTGATTTTAGTGGAGAATTGAAATATTCAAAAATGGCTGGTGATTTTGGATGCCCAATTTGAGACATTTGAAAGGATCACGATTTTCAGAAACTGGAGCATCCGTTCTCTGAAACTCAGGCCCTTTAAGGTGTCTCTTGGCCCTTGTTTTTCATAATTTTCCACCACTATATATAATCTATGATGCTTGTGGATTTAATTAAATAAGTGTACCACATGACAGTTCTATACTCAGGAATGGTGCATAATAATTTAATTTTATCAAATAAGAGGTAACATCCAGATTACGAACTTACCACCCAAAGTTCACCACAGGCCTTGTTGATCCAAATTTGTGAAAGTTTCTGCTGTGTTCTGGACAGCTGTAGCAGTTGTCACAGGGGGTTACCATTGCAATGCCATTTCTGTGATCGATTTCTATCTCCATTATAACAAACAAAATTATAATAAAATAAGGAATTCCTTCCTTAACAGAAAATGTATGAGAGCTAAATTACATTGACTTAATAGCTTATATTATTTATTTTTTATATATACAAAAAATCTCCCACCGACTTCATTTGCTGGGATCCCTAATTGATTTTTGCTCTAAAATTGACCCAAAAAGATTGTTGGTCCCTAAAAGTTTTGCCACATAATTTTCTGCCATTCTCCTGATGTTCCCTTAGCAGGGATACAAAAGGCCCATCTATAATTGAGATGAGAATCAGGATTTATTATGAAGCACTTAAAAATAATTAATACCTTGCTTATATAAATCAGTGTTTATCCATAGGTCTAACCGTGCTTTACAGAAGAGGTAGGCATCATCATCATCCCCATATTACAGATGGGGTAATTGAGGCACAGCGTTGAAGTGACTTGGCTAAGGTCACCCGCCCAGGCAGGTGTAGAATCAGGAACAAAACCCTGGCGTCCTGAGTCTGCGTCCAACACTATCACCTTTACAGTCACAGGGAACAGCAGATGTTTCCTAAGGCTACCCAGCTTGGTCTGTATACGTCTCAACACCTTGGGCAAGGATGCTGGATGAGGCAGGGGCGGAATTGTCCCTTAGTATTTGTGAAAGATGCTGGACTGAAAGCCCAAGAGATAAACAGTGGAAGTGCAAGCTTCTATGGTGCATTAGTGTGTCTCAATTCCACTGGAGAGAGACCACTTCCACAAGTGTGAGTATATTTCAGTTTCCTAACCACTGAATTTTGGAGAAGTTCAAAAATATGAGATTAGAGTGAGAGGTGCCGCATATCTTTAAAAGATAATGATTATGGAAGTTGTGCAACCATGGGTGTGTTACTTGTACATAATATCTTTGAGGCTACTCTATGGCCTTCATTCACCACAGACTGCAGCTCCTCTCTTAATCAAGGTAATGCTTCACAAATTCTTTCACTCAGGAAGGCAGGGCATACAGTGGCTAGAGCAGTGGATTGGGAAACAGAACTCCAAGGGTTTGATTCACCACTACATTGCTCCAGTTTTATGCCAGCATAGCTCCATTGATTTCAATAGGCACCATTCAGTGGAGTTATGCCAGTGTTTAAATTCTGTTCCTGACTATGCCACTGACTTGCTGCTGTTATGTCATGATGGGCCAGATCCTCAGCTGGGGTAAATCAACATAGCTCCAGTGACTTCAGTGAATCTATGCTGCTTTCCCCTAGCCAAGGAACTGGCCCATAAATGCGTTGTGCTTCCATTGGCTATCTAATAATGCTTGCCTATATCATAGGTATATTGTGGCAGTTAATTAATGTCTATAAAGTACTCTGAGATTCTCGGATCAATGATGTTATACAAAGCATTACTATTCTTATAGCAAATTGCTTAGAGTTGCAGCTGGAGAGAACCTCCCTGTTATAGTGGCAGGGGAAAAAAAACAGACTGAGAATAGTGGCAGCTTAGATCTTTCCTTGCTCTTATGAGGACCAATCTTGGTGTCCATACTCAGACAAACTGTCATTGACTTCAGTGGGAGCTTTACTTCCATAACGAATAAGTAAGAAGCTCAGGAATTGTCCCATAGCTCCTCAATGTCTTCCAAGCAAAACTTATCTGTGGCTATAAATGGTATTTCCCGAGAAGGAGATAGAACTAAAATGCAGTTGAAACTGTATCTTTAATTTAGTTCCAGACTTTGTAAATAATCTTTTTAAGCCATGGGCAGATTAGAAACAGGATGTTCAGACATAATGACTGGTTGACTCATCAACAACTGGGTTGGCTAAAGAACTCCAGGATTTTAGGATATCTTGTTATGTTAGTACCCTCACTGAAAACAGATTTGAAAATGGTACAATGTCTACTTTGTATACTGTTAAGGTATGTCTTCACTACCGGCCGGATTGGTGGGCAGTGATCAATCCAGTGGGGATCGATTTATCACGTCTAGTCTAGACGCAATAAATCGATTCCCCAAGTGTTCTCCCGTCAACTCCTGTACTCCAGCTCGGCAAGAGGCGCAGGCAGAGTTGACGGGGGAGCGGCAGCAGTTGACTCACCGTGGTGAAGACACCACGGTAAGTAGATCTAAGTATGTTGACTTCAGCTACGTTATTCACATAGCTGAAGTTGTGTAACTTAGATCGATTCCCCCCCACCCCACCCCACCCAGTGTCGACTAGGCCTTAGTTACACTACTGCTCACTACGACTGAAGCCTGCTATTTCAGCCATACAGTTCTTGTTTCTCAAACTGGTTACTCTTAATTTCTCTCATCATTCAAATCTTGATAATGATGCACATCTATGTTCTTAGACATCCACTTATCGTGCCCCAACAAACCAACATAAATTGTGTATTGAACCTGAGATTTCCAAGCCTCTAGTGCAATGCGTGAATGTTGCCTCCAAGTCTTTTAGGATGTTCTAGAGTTAGCAATTGTTTTAGAGATTGTACCATGTTTTTTTCTTCCCAAACGCATTTCTAACATCCTTTCTGATGCAGAGGTTTTGTTTCGGAGGAAGAGACCATTGAAGACGCATCGCTTCCCAATATGATATGTGTGAAGACCAAACCTTGGATAAAAAGTCCATTCTAAGTCTGGGGCCCTCTTGTTTTCTGAAAGAAATGTGAAACACATAGGGAATAGAAGTAAGTTCACACTTTAAAGGTCCACCTTAAACATTGCTTATTTATTGAATAATTTTGTTAGATATTCCCTTTAATAATATGAACAACATGCACAGTTACACTAGCTAGTTCACACTGATTGCTCTGCCTGTATGTCTTTGTCTATTCTGGGTATTCAGAGTGTAAACTCCTCGGGGCAGGGCTCTCTACTATTCTGTCTTTATACAGTGCCTCGCACAATGGGGCCATGATCTTGGTTCGTCCCTAGGCATTGCTGTAGTAGATCAATAATAATAGTTATGATAAAATATTAAAGGATATCAACACATATAATGTCTAAGATTACAAACAAAATAATAACTGTCTAAGCTTAAGAAGAAATTTCCCAATATGCATCTTATTGCACAATTGTGCATTACTGGGCTTTTAAACCTTCCTTTGGAACATCTGCTACTGGCCACTGTCAGACACTGGATTAGATGGACCACAGAATGGGCCAGATTTAGAGGCAGGCAACCCAGGTGACTGCCTAGGGTGCAAGGCTTGGGGGATGCCAGGCTCGGGGTGCTGTTTCTGTTGTTAGTGACAAAAAGGGAAATAGAATGTTTGAAGTAAGATGTTTCAGGTACTCCATATGTGGATTCATTTTTCACTAATCTCCTAGAATGTTCTGAACCTTTGTAGAATCTCGTGGAACCTTCCAGACTTTCTGAGAATTACGTTTTCCTCAAACATCCTAGAATGCTCTCAGCCATGCCCTTACAAGTATATAAGGGGAGGGGCATTGCCAGTCAGTCAGTGAGATATAAGAACGAACGGAAGTGAATTATGGTTTGAATGAATGGACTATAAGGTGGATAGAAAGCTGGCTAGATCGTCGGACTCAATGGGTAGTGATCAATGGCTTGATGTCTAGTTGGCAGCCAGTATCAAGCAGAGTGCCCCAGGGGTCTGTCCTGGGGCCAGTTTTGTTCAACATCTTCATTAATGATCTGAATGATGGGATGGATGGATTGCACCTCAGCAAGTTTACAGATGACACTAAGCTGTGGGGGAAAGGTAGATCTGCTGGAGGGTAGGGATAGGGTCCAGAGTGACCTAGACAAATTGGAGGATTGGGCCAAAAGAAATCTGATGAGGTTCAACAAGGACAAGTGCAGAGTCCTGCACTTAGGATGGAAGAATCCCATCCACTGCTACAGGCTGGGGACTGACTGGCTAAGCAGCAGTTCTGCAGAAAAGGACCTGGGGATTACAGTGGATGAGAAGTTGGATATGAGTCAACAGTGTGTCCTTGTTGCCAAGAATGCTAACACCATATTGGGCTGCATTAGTAGGAGCATTGCCAGCAGATCATGTGAAGTGATTATTCCCCTCTATTCGATACTGGTGAGGCCACATCTGGAGTATTGCATCCAGTTTTGGGCGCCCACTACAGAAAGGATGTGGTCAAATTTGAGAGAGTCCAGCGAAGTGCAACGAAAATGATTAGAGGGCTGGGGCACTCTGACCTATGAGGAGAGAGTGAGGGAACTGGACTTATTTAGTCTGCAGAAGAGAAGAGTGAGGGGGGATTTGATAGCAGCCTTCAACTACATGGGGAGGGGGGTTCAAAGAGGATGGAGCTAGGCTGTTCTCAGTGGTGGCAGATGACAGAACAAGGAGCAATGGTCTCAAGTTGCAGTGGGGGGGGGTCTAGGTTGGATAGCTTTTCCTAATATTTCACTTGGAGGGTGGTGAAGCACTGGAATGGGTTACCTAGGGAGGTGGTGGAATCTCCATCCTTAGAGGTTTTTAAGGTCAGGCTTGACAAAGCCCTGGCTGGGATGATTTAGTTGGGGTTGGTCCTGCTTTGAGCAGGGGGTTGGACTAGATGACCTCCTGAGGTCCCTCCAACTAGATGACCTCCTGAGGTCCCTTCTATGATTCTATGAACCTTTAAACAGAAGCTGTGACACAACCTTAAGTATAATAGCACTCCTGCGTCACTATAATTTGCTCACTGTCTTGCATCTGATTATACCAACCAAAACTAAACAAACCCCTATCCTGAAATATGTAATTTACAAACAAGATTATCACAGAAACAAAATGAATCATTGGACCTTGCTACAAGGATGCTCGATTCCTGCACCTTATTCTACTGCTGTCTCCTTTCCTTCCTATTCCTCATTTTGACCTGCTAGATGTCTATATTTAGCCATCCAGATTTTGGCCTCAACTTCCTGGATGCAGGGACTTTGAGTGGGATTTTCAAATGAGCCTATGTGATTTAGGAGCTTTGCCTTTTTCCTAAGTGACTTAAGTGCTTCTGAAAATCCTACAGCATGTTTTCTTGCTTGTCTGTACAATCAATAATAATTCATCGTAACTGGCAAGGGAAGAACCAGAGTTTGTGTTTCATGTGGTGCAAATGGGGAAGCCAGTAGAAGCACTCAAAGGAGAGATCGACGTGATAGAAGTGATGTTGGCTAAGTGGTACAAAGTTGCAGTACTTACAGCCAAAAGATGAGGTTGCAGTAGTCAAGACAGGAGATAATGAGAGTGAGGGCAGTGCTTTGACAGGTTAGGCAGAGAGAAAAGCTGAATCATTTAAGGAAAATGTGACATGATTTGTATATAGACGGAAATCTAGAGAGAGCAATGCCACACATGAAAACCAGGTTACAGGCCTGAGTGACTGGGAAGATGGTGGTACTGTCAGGGACAAAGAGACAAGGAGTTTGGAAGAAAGATGAGTTCATTTTTGACTATTTTCAGACTAGTAAAACTGGTGTGAGATCAGCAGTAGGCTCTGTCTGTGTGTGAAACAACACCCGACCGGAGCAGAGATACATTCTGTGCTGCAAGTAAATTATCTTTTCCTGTTATTCTTTACAATTTACTCAAGTGTGGGAGATTGCTGAAATCTGATCTTACCAGGAGGTGTAATAAACTGATGAGTTTCAGTTGCTGATTTAATTTCAGGTAGTGGAACATCAGCGCATTGAGAGGAAGGTGACAAGGGAAGCGTGGACTTCAGGTCAAGGTCATGGCTAATCAAAATAAAAGAGACGAGAGATCAGCTATTTCCTAGTAATCACTGAGCTGGAGCAATTATGATTAAGATCTGGTAATATTGCACATACTCAGAACAAGAAGGCTCTGTAGAGTGGGTAGAAGGTCGGCTGAGACTGTCTTGACTTGCACTGTCATGAGATGCGTGGCAATGTTCTTTAAGTCTGTTGAATTTTGCTGCATGGCTGCTGAGTTCAGGAAGTTGGGCAGGCTTGTTGACTTGAGACCCTGTAATATGTATCTGATCTCTAAGAACTACTTTAAGAGAGGCTGCAACAGTTCCAAAACTCACTTCCTGCTTGGCAGTAGAGTTTGCATACTACAATAGGCCTGATGTTCCTCTGATTTGTCAATGGGGTTACAGCAGAGTAAAACTACAGTAAATGAGAGGAGAATCAGACCCACTGCCTTCAAGTTTTTCCTAATAGTTAATCTATTGTTTTCTAGCTGACCCTGGAAGCTTTTGTTGTTCACATACACCAAGAATATATCTGTAGCCTTGAGTATTTTCTTTCATCAAGATTTCATCCTCTAAAGTCCTTCTTAACAAGACCTGTAATTGCAACTAGAATTATAGCCCTTAGACAGCTGCTAGATCTGGTTTCTAAAAGGTTTATCCTGTTAGGTGCTTTCCTGGATTGAAAAAAATCCTGAGTTTAACCATGTTGGCTAACCTGGGAATCAAATCCCATTTCTGATGTTGCAACATCCTGCCACCAATCTAGTGGCAAAGTAAGAGAATGCCCCCACATGGAAATACGCCTTTTCTAGGATCCGAAACTTTATTTTCACAGTCGTCTTTTGCACACCCCTTAGACATAGTTTGAAGATCACTAAACCACTGGTTTAGTAAAGGAGACCCTCGATTCAGAACCCATCAGTTCTTCCACTCTCTTAAATTGTGAGTTGCTCAGAGCAGGGACCATGTGTGCTTTGTACAGTGTACAGCACAATGGGTTGTAGATCCTGAATGGGGCCTTTGGATGCTACCACCAATAAAAATAATAAATAAAATAATAATCTTAGGGCTACACCACTGTGATGTGATTTTGCCCCACAAGATGTATTCAAATACCCCTTTTGCCCTACTCCCCTAACCCTTACCATCCTCATCACCTTGTGACACAGAGCTTCCCTCTGATTTCTCCATACTACCTCCCTCGCCTGTGGTGAGCTCCGCTCTATTCCCAGAGGGCGTGGTGCTCCCACCACATCTCTGTGACACCCAGGTCACTCTGGGGTCTTTGGCTCTCCAGAGACGAATGTGCAGGAGGAGTAGGGGCAGAGACTCCGTGCTAATTATGCCAGCTGGAACAGCTTATTGTGTTGTCTCTTGGGTGTCCAGGAAACGGGAGATACCAAACTCTCCTAAATATGGGGGTGATCTCATGAGTCTTCTCCCCCATGCCTACCCCACACACCAGTTTATTGTGGAATCTCGCAGGGGTGGTGGATTTGCAGGCTCAGAGACAGAGTCTGTTCACATTGCCTACCACCCTGCCCCCAGAAAGAGGCTGGGGCCCACATGGTGTGCTAGGTGCCATGTAGTGTCATGAGTTTATGAATGAATGGCTTAACCCTACTGCCTAATCTGCCCCTTCCCTGGTTAAGCAATGTCCCTGCTTGAGCCTTCGCCAATGGACAAGGAAGGACAGGGGCAGATACTGAGAAGGTGGGGGCGAGGGTTACAGACAGAGCTGAGGGGTAAGAAATTGAGGTGTCTGTGTTTTGTGTGAGGAGTTGGGAAGGTCTGAGGGCAGTAGCCAATCAGAGCAGAGGGATTTGTAATAGCCAATCAGAGCAGAGGGGTGAAAGGATAGCGATCCCATTTCAATTTACTATTAAAAGGACCGTACAAGGATAACTCAGTAACAACCATATCCTGGACTAATTAAACATTCGAAGGCAGCAGAGTTCGGGATACTGTTATTAATTTGGAAGCCAGAAGAATCCACCATATTTAATAGTTAATAAGTACTGTTGTTGTTGTTCACTTATATCATTACAGATTTGCAGATTCCTGTACAAACATAGATTGACATGACCCATGCCCTGAACAGCTTACAAACTACAAAAGATTGGGCATGGGCTTATATTAGAGGATATGAGGGTTTATTGGAGAGGAGAGCAGGATGGGAAGGATTCCTGGAAGAAGTAGGTCAGTTTTAGAGAGGAATCTGACGGCTGGGGCAGGGGGAGAACACTTGGTGGACAAAATAGAGAGACTTTTCCAAGCTTAGGAGCAGTTTATATGTGTTTCATGGGTGACTCTTGCAAATACACCCTCTGGCACACATGTCTGAAACACTTCCATCAACCACATTTTAAAGTGGATGAGGATACGTGGATTTTTTTTTTTTTTGGAGCTGATCTGAAACTACCAATGCTCTAGATGCCAACCTGGGCACTGGGAAAGTAGGTTGGAATTGGCTGATTCCCCACTTAATCTTTTCTTCCTCCTCCTCCCAAAACACTTGCCACCCCTGACCGGCCACCAGACAGCCCCAGCCCTGCTGACTCTTTCGGCTGACATTAGCACTGCCTGTAAAAGAGGAAGCATTGTAGTGCAGTGGTTTTCAACCTTTTTCCATTTGCAGACCATAAAAAATTTCAAATGGAGGTGCGAACCACTTTGGAAATCTTAGACTTAGTCTGCGGACCCCAGGTTGAAAACCACTGTGAACCCAGACTCAGCAGCGCCTCCTTCTCCCCTATAGGTGGCACTACTGTTATGTCCCAGGTTACTGTGGAGCTTGTTAAATCAAGGTGCTTAGAGTCAGAAGGGTGGAAGATAAATTATTAGCATGTCGGCACGGTGTGACTCTTACAAAGCAAAGGCTTGGCCAGACTGGCAAACCTTGTACCAAGGTGGAAGCTATCTGAGTTGGAATCTGGCAGAGTGACTGGGACAGAATTAGTTACTGTTTGTAAATAAAAGTGAAAGATAGGACACATTATAAAGAGTTGGGAATGTTTACTACCATGAGAAGGCCAGGCTGGGACAAATGAGTACTCTGTACGCAACATATATACTGTATTTCTATTTCCAGTCAGTTTTTACTGTCTTTCCCTCTCAGTTCCTTTTTTCACAAGATTTGTTTTCCTCACTGGCTCCTCCCGGCTTCTTTGCTCAAAGTGTTCCCTACGTGGAATATGAAGCAATAATGTTAGAGTTGAATCCTGGAACCAGGAACATTCATACAAGTTTCAAATTAAGCAAACACATTTGCCCATCTCTAAGTATTATATGATTCACAGGCATAGTGCAAATGTAATCCATGTGCCTAATAGGGAGATATCTCTTTAAGAGCCCCCACTTCTAGTGCTGACAGACCCTGGTCGTTGGCGGGCGGGATCAAACCTGGGGCCTCTGGAGCTTAGTGCATGAGCCTCTACCGTATGAGCTAAAAGCCAATTCGCTGTTAGCTAAGGCTGTAGAGCAGACTCATTTAACTCTGTCTTTAAGTGGTCTCGGTGCCACTAGATGGGACAGAACAGTGGTCGGTTACACAGACATAAATAAATGTCTAGCACTCAGGCTGTCTACAGGCTTCTACCAGCATAGCCATGTCAGTCAGGGGCGTGAAGACGAGTGCGTCCTGTTCCGGCAGAAGTCTGTAACATAGATGCAGCTATACTGGCAACGCTGCTACTGATATAACTTGTTTCTCTCATAGGGTGGTTTCACTGTAGAAAATACAGCTTTGCCGGTCTAGTTGCATCCACACACACTGGCAAAGCGCTGCTAATCAGTATTCCTATACTGGTAAAACACTCGTATTTTAGACATACCCTGAACACAGCAAAGTTTGAAAGGCAAAAGATGCCAGTTAAAAGTTTCCATAAACGGTATTATCTTTTTACAATAGTCACCCTACAGAACTGTTGATGATTTTTTATCCCATCCTCTGTTTAGAAGGCAGTTTGAATTTGTGTTGTTCTAACACATGGGGGTCTAATTCTCTTCTGATGCCAATATTACTCTTGTATAACTCTATTGACTTCAGTAGGGTTATTCCTGTATGAATGTTGCTGAGACTCACCAGTGTGAGAGGAGAATCAGGCCAAATAATTGTATTTATTTTACATTTACTCATTATGGCCTATTTTTGGTATGGCACTTAACCTTTTGACACCCCCCAAATAAGTATTATTGTAATAAATATGTCCCTTAAGTGAGCTGCATTTAAGTACGCTCCATTGTATTCCAGCTGGTAGACTACAATACATATTTTCTATAAATAAAATTACCTTTATCTTCTAGGAAAATGTGGTTTTAGTTTAGTTCTCCACTGAAAAATAGAGAATAGCAGTTCTCCTCCTCCTAAAGATACTAGTGTTGATGTCACTGTTTCATAGATCCTTATTATCAAACCCCAGATCCAAACAACTCCAAACTTTCAGTGACTTCGGGTTTGAACAAGATCAGAATTTTGTGGCTTGGGCAGTAGCAGAGCTAGGGAGGGAGCGGGGCAGCGGCTGCTCCCCCACTGAGCACAAGTGGCGCCTTTTTAATTTTACTCACCCGGGAGCGAGGGAAAAAAAGGCACCACCCGCTGCGGCACTTTTACTGACCGGGGCAGTGCTCAGGGTCTTCGGCGGCACTTCGGAGGCGGGACCTTGACTCGCTTCGGGTGTCTTCGGCGCCACTGAAGCTTCATCGCCGAAATGCCACCGAAGACCCGCGGAGCGAGTGAAGGTTCCGCCGCCGAGGTGCCGCCGAAGACCCGTAGCGCTGCCCCGTCAGTAAAAGTACCGCAGCGGGTGGTGCCTATTTTTTTCCGCTCCCCCTCTTCCCTCCACCTGTCTACGCCACTGGGCTTGGGTCCATCTCTGGTATGAATAACGGCCTAGATTCTGAATGCACTTACACTAGTGTAAATCAGGAGTAACCCTATTGACATCAATGGGCTGATCGCTGTATTCCTGGACCTAGTCATTTACATCAATGCAAAGTGTAATAAATGTTTCTGTTCTGGTTTGATAGCATTTTGCACCCAACTGCAACTCACTGTGCACAGATACAAATGCAAAGGAAGATTAGGCCCAATGTTTTAAGGTCTTGTTCAATATAGACCATCACAATGAGAGTGGCTGGGTGCTGAGGTCTTTTGAAAATCTGACCCTATTTGTGGGCACAAGGCACTTGAAAATGTGTCTGTGAGCTTTCTCAAAAATCTGGCACTTAACATCAATTGGAAGAATTTCCACTAGGGTGCGCAATATGAACAGCATTTCCCCTCCTTTCTTTCTTGTGTGTTATCAGCTATAAAAATGAATGTATGTTTCAAGGAGGAAGGATTTGTAATTGTAGAGCTGTATTAACATACTGTGGATGAAATATTGAATCTGGAGGCTTAGTCCAAAATTCCTGTCTTTTGTAGGGAGATGTGTGAGATATTTCCCATGGAATTCTGACCCAGCATAAGGTAACTTCTCACCAATGTTATGAAAGGGGGGGAAATTGCTTGTCATCCAATGTGCAGTTTTTATTTACATTAAAAAGCCATAAAAAGTGCTTGTCTTTGAGAAAACGAAAAAGTTGCATGACCCCAGCTGCATTTTAGAATCTCCTGCTCACTAGCTGTTTGACCTGGGACAAGTCATCTAAACTTCCATGCCTCAGTTTACCCATCTACAAAATTAGGATAGTAATGCTAACTTATTTCACAGAGGTGTAGTGAGGCTTAATTCGTTTATGTTGTAAAGTGCTGTGAGATCCCTGAATGACAGGTTGGTACTTTAAGGCTTGTCTACACTTGAAACACTACAGCTGCGCTGCTGCAGTGCTTTTGTGTAGACGCTACCTACACTGATGGGAGGGGTTCTCTCATCAATGCAGGTAATCCACCCGCCCTGGAGGCAGTAGCTAGGTTGACAGAAGAATTCTTCCATTGTCTGTCTCCATGGGGATTTAGGCTGGCTTAACAATGCCACTCAGGGCTGTGGATTTTTCACACCCCTGAGTGATGTAGTTATGTTGACCAAATTTTCTAGTGTAGACCAGGCCTTATATTGGTAAGATTTGAACAGCGAGTGGAAACTAGTATAGGGCATTGATGAGATCAATACTGGAATACTGTGAATAATTCTGGTGTCCACATTTTAGAAAGGATGTTGAAAAATGAGAGGGCGCATAAAAGCGCCACAAAAATTATTCAAGGTCTGGAGGTGCTCTACAATGAGAGACTTAGAGCTCAGTGTGTTCAGTTTATCAAAAACGATTGAGAGGTGACTCGATTACAAGTATGTCAGTACCTTTGTGGAGAGGAAAAAACGTTATTAAAGGGCTCTTTAATCTAGTGGAGAAAGGCATGAGAAGAACCATTGGCTGGAATCTGAAGCCAGACACATTCAGATTAGAAATTAGACATAAATGTTTAACAGTGGGGGTGATTAATCACTGGAACACACTACCAAGGAAAGTCATGGATTCTTCATCTCTTGATGACTTCAGATCAAGACTGGTGCCTTTCTGGAAGATACGCTGTAGCCAAACACAGGTTATTGGGCTCAATACAGGGGTACCTGCTAAAATGTAATGGCCTGTGCTATACGGGAGGTCAGACTAGATAATCTAATGGTCCCTTCTGGCCTTAAACTATGAATTTAGGCTATTTAGCTGAAGCACAGTTTTAAAAGAAACACTCACATGTACAACTCTCCTTCACAATAAAAATGTCCTGCATTATGAAATGCTGGAATATGAGCAGGGAACATGACAGGTCAAGTTACCCAGTAAGTATTCCCAGTGGTGATTCACTTTTGATGTAACCAGGGCAGTTTACACAGGAGTGCGGTGGAAACCTTTAAACTTGGTTGAATGATTGGTTGCTTTAGCAACTTGTGGAAATCAAGTTCACACAAAGCAAGATAAAAGGGCTTTCCTCCACCCACCACAAAGTAATGACAGGGAAAGAAGGACTGATATGTTGATGATAACGTTAAATGTTCAGATTTAAGGGCCTTTTTCATTAATATTTGGAATCTACTTCTTTTTCAAAGTTAGGTATTTATGAAGCACTGATAGCTAAGAACCATAATTTTCTTCACTGTGATACAATCTCATTATTATTTGTAGTATGTCTAGGAGCCCTAGTCATGCATCAGGACCCCATTGTGCTAGGCGCTGTACAAACACAGCACAAAAAGGCAGTCCCTGCCCTAAAGACTTTACAATCTCATATTTGTTCATTAGTAAATAATAATTTGGCATAAAGAGAGAAACTTGCACTTCTGGAGATGGCTACTTTATACATTCTTTTATGAAAGCTGTTTAACTGAGCTGCTGTGCGACATTTGCTCCGGGAGAAGATATTGGAATCATCTTTATGGTGCACTGATTCTGCCACTGACATTGGCAGCAGCATGAGCAGTGGAGTGGAAAAACAAACAAGAGCCTGATATTAGAGCTCTGTGTGTGTGTTGTGCTCCATACTGCTCTGACCCATGTTCCACTATGTTTTCAGAAGACAAAGGATGCATTTAAGCTTACTGCATTGTAATTAAAGGGTTATCCTGGCTGTCAGGTGTCTTGAGAATATACATCCCAGTAGCACATGTACCCAAACTCTGCTACTGTATTTCTGGGGGAACATTTATTTCTGGCAATCCCATAAAAGGCATACTGCAGCTGTAAGTCTTAGAGAGGAATGCCATCTGAAATCGTACCCCATCAGAGCAATTCTGCTGAGAAATTGAGTTCAAAGACATCCAGATCCCTCAGGAGGATACAGTTATGTCAAACCTTGCTGAATAGATGACTACGTACCTGTTTTAGAACCAAAGCATTACAAAGAGCATTTTCAGCCTCAAGGCAGTAATTTGCTGCAGTGCACAGACACATTTCCCAGTGGCGGGATGAAAGGAAAACTTTCACCCCATCTTTTTTAAAACTGTACATTATGTCATCTCTAGAAAGAGCCCTGTTGTATGTGTGGCCTGTTGCTAATATTGATTAAACAAACCTTAAGTGATAGTTTGTGGTGTTTGTATCATCATGCATTAACCCTGTAATTTCAGGGCTTCACTTTAAGTCATGATGATTTAAACCAGATGTCTTGAGTTGAAGTTAACATACAGTGTGCATCTTATTTGTTTTCTTAGTGTGAAACTATTCAGCACATTGTCCATTTTTGGTTGCTCTCAAATGAGACTTTAATAGCAGAAAGTATATTTTA